AACATGAGAACTAGCATAGAGCATAGCATACCATAGAAACAGCAAAGCATAGGTTCAATCAGAGAAGGATCAATCAGAGAAGAGGCCCAGTGGCATCATGAGCTGTTTTCTGAAAGCTCTATCAGTTTATCACTATTACCATGGCAATGAAACATGAGAATTAGCATATAACTGGAAATTTTCTGAAAGAGCTATCAGTTTATCTTGCATCAGACTGTCTGTGAATGTCTCTGGGTTAACCACAAGTGGACCCAGTGGCCTAATGGATAAGGCATCAGCCTCCGGAGCTGGGGATTGTGGGTTCAAGTCCCACCTGGGTCATCGTTCAGGGCATGTGTTTAAATTGGCTGAACAAGATATTCAAGTATGAAAAGTTCAAAGTGACACTATAGCCATTAGAATAAGCATAGAAGTGTCCTAATGGGTTATGGCATCAGCCTCTGTGTTCAAGTCGCACCTGTCCTGCTTTTGTTGTGTTACATTTAAGTTGGCTGCGCAAGAAATGCTGGGATGATAAGTTTAAAGTGGCACAATAGACACGACAACAAAACATGAGAACTAGCATAGAGTTAGAATTAGCATAGAGCATAGCATATCATAGAAACAGCATAGCATAGGTTCTGAAAGCCCTGAAAGTTTATCTCGCAGGTTAGGTTGACCAGGGAAAAAGGTGCTATGCCATCAGCCTTCGGAACTGGGGATTGAGAGCTCAAGTCCCATCTGGTTGTTTTTAAGAGTTTACATTTAAGTTGGCTATGAAAGAAATTCCAGGATGAAAACTTCAAAGTGACACTATTGTCATGAGAATTAGCAAAGAACTGGCAATCGTCTGAGTTTTTTTTAGTTTAGTGTTAGCCAGACTGTCTGTGAATACCTCTGGTCCACCAGTAAAAGTCCCAGTTGCCTAAAGGGTTATGGCATTAGTCTCTGTGTTCAAGTCCCATCTGGATTGTTTTTGTTGGATTGGTTTGTAGGAAAACCAATAAAAAGGCCCAGTGGCCTAATGGATAAGGCACCAGCCTTCGGAGCTGGGGGTTGTGGGTTGTGGGTAGATATCTTATCTGAACAAGATATTCAAGTATGAAATGTTCAAAGTGACACTATAGTCATTAGAACAAGCATAGAAGTGTCCTAATGGGTTATGGCATCAGCCTCTGTGTTCAAGTCGCACCTGGCCTGCTTTTGTTGTGTTACATTTAAGTTGGCTGCGCAAGAAATGCTGGGATGATAAGTTTAAAGTGGCACAATAGACACGACAACAAAACATGAGAACTAGCAGAGAGTTAGAATTAGCATAGAGCATAGCATACCATAGAAACAGCATAGCATAGGTTCTGAAAGCCCTGAAAGTTTATCTCGCAGGTTAGGTTGACCAGGGAAAAAGGTGCTGTATCATCAGCCTTTGGAACTGGGGATTGAGACTTCAAGTCCCATCTGGTTGTTTTTAAGAGTTTACATTTAAATTGG